GGGTTATCTGTCCCTTTCGCCTTTGTGCTATTGTGCCCATATTACAAATACAGAGTTAGAGTATTGCATGAACACTTATGTTACTGTTCACTACATGTGCGACTATGCTACTATGCTCACTATGCTGCTAACTATACTGTTAACTATGCTACTAACTATGCTACCAACTTGGCGGGCAGGGTAAAAAAAACCAAAATTCTGGAAAAAACTCTACCGCAACCAAGAAATCTCATGTGACTGTCATTCCGACAGGCCACTAAACTCAAAATAAATGTGACTGTCATCTCGACAGGCCAGTACAAAAAACTCAAAAATGTGACTGTCATCTCGACAGGCCACTCTAAACTTAAAAACTCAAAATAAACGTAATTGTCATCTTGACAGGTCAGTACAAAAACTCAAAAATGTGACTGTCATCCTGACAGGCCACTTATTACCGAAAACCATATGACTGTTGTCCCGACAGATTTATCACCTAAGCAATAACTATTTCCTCACTACGCCTTATCACACCATGGTGCATACCAAACGTAATATGCACAAAACGATCATTGCATCAAATACGCCAAGGATTCTAAATATCACTCCACAGATGTTCGTTAGGCCACTCTACGAAGGGTGGGAAAGGGCAGGACGAAAAAACCAGACAAAGTCAGGTTAGCAAAAAAATCAGAAATTATCTTGTCTGGGAAAAAACCCGTTCGCTTTAAATATACCCTAACGATTACAAATCAAAAACTACGTAATTACGTTGTTACTCTAATAAACTCCAATGATGTAATTATGTCATTATTATAACGATTAGTAAAGACAATACAACAATCAGTAAAAACAATACACAGTTACGTAACTGTATCAATAGACTCAATGATTACGTATCTGTATCAATAGACTCAATGATTACAAATCGAAAATATGATTCAAGTAAGTAACCATATCGATAAGCTCTAACAATTACTAATCGAAAAACTACATAATTTCGTTATCATATATTAAATCAAAGCAATATACTCATATAATCAATTGATTTATGCTCCATGTTCGATTTGAGACAAAATACTGCTCTGATACTTTTGTATCAGGCAGCTAATATTTGTCTCTCATCTAGAAGGTGTTTCTAAGCAATGAAATACAGTTATAGGTCTTTGCAGAGTATCGTTATATAAGTTTTGCAATTGGGCTTAAAAATTTCGTTTCCTTTTTTTTTTTTTTTTTCATTAAAATCCCATTAAACATGAGGCTCCCAGCTCTGCAGTGCCAACTGCCCACATATATAGTTGGACTGCCCCTGACGTCCATCTACTGATCGATTGCATTTGTTCCATGGTCATGCCTCCCTTCAAAGCTGCTGTAGTGCCTCCAATCCTTAAACTATGCACTGAATATTTTCCTTGTAGCTCTGCATTAACTGCAAAGTGCTTAACTATTGCAGATACAGCTGTTACTGACAATTTTTCTCCTGTTTTGGACAGGAACAATGGCTCCTCCGGTACCGTTTCAGGCTTCAACCTCAAATATAAATCTAACAAACTCATAGGACAGATTTCGCTTGTCATTCTTTCCACTGAAATAACCTTGCCCTTCCTAAGCTGGTCTGTTTTAGATTTAGAAACTCTGATCTATACCATTTCACCCTTTTTTAGAATATCCAACCATTTTAGATTGCACAATTCACCCGGCCTTCGCATAATTCTCAAGCCTAACACTACTAGTGTTATATCCCGAGCCCATATCACCATATTTACTCCTAGTGGTGGATATTCAACATATCTTCTAACTACTGCTACTGGTAATGGATCTCTTGGCTATCAGGCTTCAGCCTTGCCCTGAGACAACAAGGACCTTTTTATTCCTTCCACAATCAATCATATTATACATTCCTTCGTAGGATCACCATAACTCCTTATCCTGTATTCCCTTGCTACCACTGCCAGACAAATAGTAACCTCCACTGCCCTACCCGATAACTCGATCCAGGCTAGAAATGATGCTAACAGCTTCTTAGAAGCAGAGTATAGCGTCATGCCTAACCAAAAAGCAAAGTTCTCAAACACTTCCCCAGTCTTCTCTAAATGCTTCCTATAAGCGTCACTAATAGACCCGTTCATCAAACATTCAGCTTTACCAAGCAATTCACTGACCAATTCAGTAACACTGCTCTCAAATGCCACTGGCTGTTGTTGCAAGGTTCCAACTTTCCGGATGGGCCCGGCTGGATAATTCAGCTCAGCTCCAATAAATTGATTTCCTCTCTGGGTGAATTTACGATTAACTACCACCATGGGGCCAATACCCATACCAGAACTATAATAACCACCCACGCCTTGCATTCCCTTGTATGATGTAAAGCTCTGTGAATCTGACCGAATAGAGAACACAAATAATTTTTTACTCCCACCCATTTCTGTATAAAACAGTCCACGGCCTCCATCCCTGAGCAAAAGTAGAGACTGTTGAACCTTCCGATCCTTGTATTTAAGTGACTTGCGAACCTGTTGATCTCAAATTTTCCCATACTTCCTCCAAATAACTTATCACTCCCCAATTCAATTCCCAGTCTCCTGAATCTACTTCCTTTGTAAGAAAATTCGCTGGGTTCGATTCGCTCAGAATCCACCATGTACTGAAAATTCCCATGTCATTTTCTACACAAACCTCCCAGACCTGTTTCATAATGTCCTTTTGCCACTGCATCGATCCTCCTCTTAAAACCGTTTTTAGTGCTATTCTGTTGTCTATAAAGAGGATAACTCACAAACTCTTCAACAGGCTTTTGAAGGACTCTTCCAGCACCTGTAGTACTGCCAAAGCTTTCAACTGTGCTATTACATTAGAAGTATGGGGCTGTGCCTAGTTCCATGCCACTCTGTGCTCTTGGAAAATCCCACACCAACCAACTGTCGATGCATTGACATATACTGATCTCACCCAGGAGGGTTTCTAGGCTGGCCGTCTGTTTCATTTCTTCAAGTTTTCTATTAACTAATAGACATCCTTGACCGCTTGTGCTGATAACTGAACTCTGCCATTCCACTCTGATATACCATAATTTCTTGCATCTATAAGCTAATAAAACTCCATACACTTCACCTGGCTTGGCAGAAAAGCCTTTGCTAAACTTATTATTGTGCCCACTACAGACGCTAAATCTCTTGCCGTTACCATCGTTCTTTCCGACAAATTCTCCAACTTTGTTACAGCTGCTGCAATTTTCTCTTTTGGAGCTATCACCCTTCTACCCAGTGTATTCACAAACATCCCGCAGAATTCGAGTTTTTGCGTCAGGTCCCAGCTTTCTTTTTCTGTAGCCCGAATCCAACCACATCCATCCAGATCTATTTTTATCACTTCTTCCCTTATTTTCATTAACATCTCCTTCACCAGGTGAGCCACCCAAATATCGTCTAGATGGCTCCTACAATATATCACCTGAGCACGGTATTTGCTAATTAGGGCTCTTACTATTTTGGAAAAAACCACAGCACTTGGCTTAGACCGAAAGGCAACACTCTATATTGGTACCAACTCTCCCTGACTATAAATCCTAGTAATCTTTGAGCTTCACTGTTCATCAAAACATGGTGGTAACCATTCTTGAGGTTGAATGAAATTGACTACCAGCCTCACCTGATTGTTTGCAGCAAGCCTCCCAGACCTTCGAAATGGAACGATTTTTGCGGCAACGTTTTGTTCAATCTCCTTAGGTCTATAACTAGCTGAAATTTTTTGGGACCCTGTTTTGGAACCAAAAATCAGAGTTCACCTCCAACAGGTCTGTCGGTCGCATACTGCTGCTACTCACCTTCATTATCGCACCTGACCTCTCCAACCTTTCTAACTCGTTCCTCAGCTATAATTCTCCTTCTTTTGTAAAATAATAAGGTTTTGGAGCTGGTTGATTTACTAACCATATAAGATTCCTCAAGAACAAGGAAATCCCTTTTTCTAACCATTTCACTACTAGACAAGACAGCTGTATTACCCTTTTCTAATATTTCACCGCCTCTCACACATAAATTCTTCCCATTACACAACACTCTGCCCCTATTCCATTTCTTTCCAAACACCCCCCGAGTGTTGTCAACTACTTTTGGGTTGGGTGTTTCCTCCTCGAAAGGGCAGGCCAATATGTTTTTTAGAACTATACTCATTCATGTAGTGCTTCTTTCCTTTACAAACGAAACAAATTACCTCACCACTCTTGAAGCCTTTTCCTTTGTCAGACCTTTTAGACCACTGAGGAGCCAGGTAAAATGACTGCTACTGTGTTGGTGATAGTGATTTGAACTGAGAAAAATTTCCTTAATCGGTTAACCGAACTGAACTATTTCATTCAACCGATTGCCAACCGTTTAAGATTAACTATCTACCACCATCGAAAATTCTTGGAGCTTTACTCTTGTCTTTATGTTTATTCATTTTCTTTTCAGAACTTTTCGAAACCTTTACTCTCTCCTTACGTCATTTCATATTATATCGATTCCGCCAACCGATTACTCAATTCTCAACTGGTTGTATCAGGTCAACCGATTATAAATTTCCTCAACCGGTTAACTGAAAATTTTTTAGTTCGGGTCGATTAACCGATTATAGCCCAACCGATTCAAATCACTAGTTGGTGATAGTGAGACAATATTCGGCATCATTTGCTGTCCTCCAGCTTGCATAAGTTGTAGACCCAATTGAAGGGTTTGCAAAGAAACTAGTACGAAACCTCCAAACTGGCTTGGCAACCCTAGGTGCTGGCCCATAAATTGTGGTTGAAAACTCACTGGTTGGCTATAAGGCTGTACTTGCGGAACTTGTGCTGTAGGGATATTGCCTATTGGAAAAAGCAATGTTGAAGACAGAGACTACTTAGCGCAAGTGTAGTGAAAAGTTTTTGGCTTCTTGGATTGTGAAAAACATTGCGCAGCCAACCTAGCACTTTCCTGTTTACTTCCTAACAACTCAGTCATTGGATCAGACCCATTTACGATTACCATTTTTGAAGCAACCTCTCAACTGTCTTCATCAGCAACCCAGGCTCTTTCCAAAGTGACCTGCCTTGCTAAACACACATAGTTCATATCACCAGAGGCTAAGGCCTTATCTATTAATGACCTCACTCTACACCATTCATTGTATTCCTATTGGTTATGCAGTTTAGAAAACTCACGCTTTACCTAAACATTCCTTCGTTCGACGTCCTCTAAAAACAGGGGTCCCAATTCTGCTCCATAGCCAAAAGCCTTTCTGTCCCATGCACAACTTGATTGAAAGTTTTGACCAACCGTACTTTGTTTGCCATAAGCACCGAACAAGCCTTTGCCAAGAACCGAACGTTATGCCTTATCACCTGTCTACTGTAACCCTTCTAGATCCTCCGACAAGGTATCATCGTAATTTTCCATAAACTGCGGCCGCCCTTCTTTTCCTTTTCCGGTTACACTTCCTTTCTCTAAAGATTCTTCTGAACCCATATGATTTTACCCGTCCTTTAATAACCTGTTTACAATTTCTTGTTTTTGGCCTGTCTCTTACAGGCCCATTCTACGACAGACGAATCTTAATGTTTCCAAAGATAGCTGATTCAGATTTGACTCCAAACTTGTTTGAGCCGCATCTAAGGGCAAAGAGTCATTGAGCACTGTAACAGCTTCTGATTCCTTATTAACAGAAGACATTGAAGATCCACTATTTTATTCTCTTTTTTTTTTTTTTTTGAAAGCTATGCTTATTAAGAAGTATTGATCGAATAGAACTTAGACAGGTGACCACAACAACACTTGACTTGTGACTTTGATATCCCCATGATAAATGTTAAAGGTTTATCACTTAAAACTTTTTTTTTTTTTTTTTAGAACTTGTTTTAATATATTCAGATAATATATAGAGATAAAATAATTTATTAATCAATCAAGAACTTGCCACAAAACAGGTAAAGCAAGCAAGTATTATGTACGCAAGGTTGACAAAAGGTAATAAGTAAAAGTAAAAGTAGAAGTAACAACAATATGGATGTAAAAATTGCACAAAAAAACCAGACAAAGTCAGGTTAGCAGAAAAAACAGAAATTATCTTGTCTGGGAAAAAACCCGTTCGCTTTAAATATGCCCTAACGATTACAAATCAAAAACTACATAATTACGTCGTTACTCTAATAAACTCCAACAACGTAATTACATCGTTATTATAACTATCAGTAAAGACAATACAACGATCAGTAAAAACAATACACAGTTACGTAACCGTATCAATAGACTCAATGATTACAAATCGAAAATACAATTCAAGTAAGTAACCATATCGATAAGCTTTAACAGTTACTAATCGAAAAACTATGTAATTTCGTTATCATATAATAAATCAAAGCAATATACTCATATGATCAATTGATTCATACTCCGTGTTCGATTTAAGACAAAACGCTGCTCCGATACTTTCGTATTGGGCAGCTAATAAATTCGGTAAATTATAAATTTAAAGGGATTTCCCTTGGTTTCACTCATCATATTTTGACATTTATCTTCATGTCTTGAGCAATTTTTATTAAATTATCTGATTATCAAGTGAATTCTTATGTATTTCGGTAGTCATATAGCAGGTAAATATAAAAACATTTATTAATTGGATGGAATAAAAACAGAAAAACAAGTCCATAAATTAAGATCATAAATACATATTTATTATTATATACAAATAATTTCATTTTCATTTAGTTAATGAATAAAAAAACATTTATTAATGGATAGAATTAAATATGTTCACAAATCAAGATCATAAATACTTATTTATCACTATTTGCAAATCATTTCATTCGTATTAATTTAGCCGGTGGGTATAAAAAAAAGTACTGTACAAAAAACATTTATTAAATCAAGCTCAAAATATTTTATTTGCAATTATGTACAAATAATTTCATTCGTTTTATTTGAGTGAAATAGTTATGGCGCAAAAATTTGGCGGAACGTGATTTTTATCCAATCCGATTGTAAGATCAGTGTGTAACATAAATTGCGAAGTAAAAATTAAAGGCGAAAAAAAAACTAAACCACAAAAAACTCATAAATTCTCAAGGAAAATTAGCCTTTGGTTATTAAATAAAAGTTTCGGCACAAAAATTTAGACATGTTCTTTCTACTTTAAATTAATGCAAACATTAACTTTTAGACGAGAATTAAGATATCATTGTTTTTAATTAGTCACGGGACCGCCAAATTTTTGCGCCATCACTATTTCACTCTTTTATTTAGCTTGTAAGTATAAAGAATATTTATTAATCATTGAGCAAACCAAGTTCACAAATCAAGAACATGAATACTAATTTATCATTACGTACAAATCATTTCATTCGCGTTAATTTAGTTGGTAAATATAAACATTAATAATGTATAGAAATAAACAGCAAAACAAATTCACGAAAACATATTTACGTATAAATCATTTTATTCACATTAATCATTTCACTCAGCTCGTAAGTATGAGCATTTATTAACTGATATAAATAAAAGCAGCAAAATAAATTCACAAGAAACATAAAGAATTTTATTTACCATTACGTAAAAAAACATTTTATTCAGCTCGTAAGTATGAAAAACATTTGTTAATGGATATAAATAAAATAGCAAATCAGCTTCATAAATCAAGAGCACAAGTATTGATTAACCATTACGTACGAATCATTTCGTTCAATTTAGTCGGTTAGTATAAAGGAAACTTATTAATAGCATATCGGCGGATTTTTGGAATTTACTATTAAAAATTCCAAAAATCCGCCGATATGGATGGAATTAAAAACAGCAAAATAGATTCACAATCAAGATCCTAAATACTTATTTATCATTACATACAAATTGTTTCATCTTATTAAACTAGTCTGTGAGTATAAAGAACATTTATTAATGGATAAAAAATAAAACCGAAAAATAAGTTCATAAGTCACTGTATAAAAATTATTTCATTCGCATCAATTAGTCGGTGAGTATTTATAACATTTATTAAGGATAAAAACAAAATCAGCAAAACAAGTTAAAAAATCAAGAACACAGATACTTATTTACTATTACGTACAAATCATTGTATAATCGCATTAATCATTTTATTCAGCTTGTAAGTCTAAAGAACATTTATCAATGGATAGAAAAAAAACAGCAAAAATTCACAAATCAAGAATATAAAATACTTATTTACCAATGTGTACAAATCTTTCGTTCTCATTAATCATTTCATTTAGCTCGTGAGTATAAGAACATTTATTAACGGACATAATAAAAATAGAAAACTAGTTTACATAAGTACTTATTCATTCGTTTAATTTAGTCGGTGAGTATCAAGAACATTTATTAATAGACAAAATTAAGAATAGCAGCACAAGTTCACAAGTAAAGAATATAAATACTTATTTACCATTATGTACAAATCATTTTGTATTAACCACTTCGTTTAGCGTGTAAGTATAAAGAACATTTATTAATGGATAGAAAAAACGGCGTAAATTGTAGAATTAAGATCATAATTATTGTCAATTACATACAATCATTTTATCGCATTAATTAGTCCATAAGTATATAAAAATGTTACATTCGATGTATTTGTTTGGAATGCAAAATAAAGAATTGCTTTATAGGGAATCTAAGTATGGAATATGTGATTGGACCTAGCTGCCGCACCAATTTTGTCACGGATGATCCTTGATTTTTTTGGCTAAGAGCGACGATCAAAATTTTAGGCCGAAATTACTCCAAATTTTACTAATGAAACCACAGCTGCACATTAAGTAAAAAATATTCCTGGGATAATTTTGTCATTGTCCGGGCCTATTTCTCTAAAAATTTCCATTTTAGGAATGAAAAAGTTAAAAAGTTAATTCCGG